ACAGTTGAATTTAAAGATTTTATGGGTTCAGTTTAAAAACTATATAGATTATACTCTTGTGATAATATTCTGTTTAAAGTACTCCGCGTAAAATATTCCCAAGCTTTCTGACAAGTGATTCTCTACAATACCCTTACTCTAAACAATCTATTCAATGAAGGCACCCTTATGTAACATACCTCCTCAAGCACATGTATACGTAGAACGAATAATATTCGGTCACTATATCGAGATTATGGAGTATTAAATTATTTCATATACACTCAGGTTACGTCTTTATAAATATCCGGATACATCAATCAGCATCAGCAATTTACAGTAGTTAAAAAATTCCCTATTTAGATTTTAAACCGATCTTGTAAAAATATTTGATTTATTATTCAATAGATATACGTAGTAATTGATATATCATTTCAATATTCTGGCTAATGGTTTAATTAATGTAATAGTGATTAGGAAAACAGAACAGTTATAAGTTCGTCTCTAAGTCTGCCCTGACATTTGCGCTTACACTATGGTAATATCGAGAGCGATAGAACTTGTATATTATGTATGCATTTAAATTGTTTAAATCAGTGTTGGCACGGGACAGCTTTGGACACTTTGTGGACAATTGTGACCAATTTTGAATAAAAAAACAAATCTAAATTACTCAAAATTTTATTAAGATAACCTATTTTAATCTTTTAACCAAAAATATTCAGAACTATAAAAAATATATAATTATATCTTTTTTAAACTAATTTATTAAATTTTAAAGTCTAAATATTCTTTGGACAGTTGTGGACACTGTGGACGTTTGGACGTGGACATGAGCAAAAAAAGTCTTGGACATAGTAGACGTGACAACACTGGTTTAAATAAGAATTTCGTGGCGGCATAATTTTCAAATTAAATAATTTCTTTTTACATATATATATTTATTAATTAAATCTGTGGTTTACATGAGATTTATTTAACTTTCTGTGATCAATTAGAACAATAGAGATTAAAAAAAAAGTGGTTCAATTCTTTAAAAATAATAAATATATAAACCCAGTTTCAACTCTATAAACCAAAATTATGGTCGACTCTGGATATTACGAACTCAAAATTTTGAAATTCCATAATATATAGTTCAGTATGAAAATGTCATGGATTCTTAAGAAAACATAGTAATTTTCTATAGCGAACTGTTTTTTCTTCCAGAATCATCAGTTCGTTATAGAAAGAGTTGACTGTAGTATGTATTATAAGTATTATCAGTTATGTATTCTAGAATTTTCTATTTACTACCTCATGAATAGAGAAAAGTTTAAATTTCACCTCATCTTAAATGTGGTGTTGTGATTAAATGACGTTAAACTATTCTAAGAACGGATTCAATTATATCGTTAAAGTTTTTAATTAGTGAAAATGACAAAATGGCTCATATTTAGGGTAAAGACAAACAAACAAAAAAAAAACAAACATATAGTACTTGCTTTTTCTTTTCATTAATCCTAACTCAACTAATAATGACACTACGACTTCCTGAAGATATCCTCAAAGAGATTTTTGAGAACTTAGAAGATGAAACCGGCTCACTTTTTTCTTCCATATTGGTTAATCGACTTTGGTGTTTAAATGTCATACCAATTTTGTGGAAGAATCCGTTGAAAAATCAATTCAAAAAAGCTAGTGAGAATTTATTAACATGTCAACATCGTTGTAAACTGCTTTTACGCACTTTACTTTCTTGTTTATCAGATGAATCAAGAGGCTTGCTATCCGAAAATAGACTTGAGTTACCATTCCAAATATCTCAACGCGCTCTTTTTGATTATCCGATGCATTGCAAAAATTTAAGAACTTCTGATGTTAGTATGCTTGTATGGAGTGCTGTGGAAAGGAAACAAATAAGTGGTCAACGTGGAAAATTTTTATTCTTCGTTTTGGAACAAGAACTTTATAAACTTTTCTTCTCTCGAAGTTCTGCCATCCAACAATTTACACTTTGTTCGATGTTGCATTCGATTCAACTTTTTTCTGGTGCAACTAGTTCTTTAGCAAATTTATCTGTACTAAGATGCAGCACAGAGAGTCATGAATCTTTCTTTTTTGGATTGGCTCAAATTTGCGAAAGGATCAAGGTTATTATTGTTGATTTTTGCGATAAAGACAATGATGGTTTGAATTTCCTAATTTGCGTTCAGAATGGTGTGAACTGTTTTGAATGTAAACATGGGAGCATTCATGGCCAAGAAGATCAATGTCCTAACCTTAATATTGCCTTACAAACACAAGCACATTCCTTAAAGAAACTTGATATCATAGACAATATGGGAGGAATTTTGTTGAACACTATATGTTCGTTTTCCAACTTGCGCTGTCTAAAGTTTGCAATCTCAGATGGAATATCTGATGATGTTGTCAATAATTTGAGGAACGCTGAGATTCCTAATTTAGAAACTTTAGAGGTTCGTGGAGAACCAATTTCGGTAAACATTTTAACATCTTTAATCAAAAACACACGAGGTAATTTCCAAAAACTCCATTTATGTGGATGGCGACCAAGTGTTGATGATAATCTTGGTATTCTTTTACCCATCATGAGAAAACATTGTCCAAGGTTAAGGTCACTAAGCACCTGGATTGGAGAAGACGATTTGATAAATCTTGAACTCTTACTGAGTTCTTGTCGTGAACTGGAAGGCATCTTCTTGCGCGTATATTCTAATGAGCTTATGTCACGATATAGGATCTTTAATTTGCTTAAACGAATTAATCCGAAAAATTTGCGCAAGTTGAAGTTGGAGCATTTATTTTTATTAGATGAGGAAGAAGGACTCGAAATGTTTCTAAAAAGTCGATCAATCAAGATGCCATTGATCTTAGAGGTTGTTGGAAATCTAATTTCGCAAGATACATCTGAGATCATTTCGATTTATAGATTTAATGGAGTGTTGAAAGATGCAAAATTGTTATGCTTCGGCGAGGATTCCGCACCAGACCAACAAACTCCGCGTTGGAAAATTGATGCAATTATTTAAAATGAATGAAAAGTGACATTGTGCTTGGGAAATGTTAGTCAAATATTAATAAAAATTAGTATTGTGTACTATATTCATGTTTCCTATTTACATATGTTTTATGTAAGTAGCTTCATAGGTCTGAACCTTTACTTGATTCAAACTTCTAAATAGAAGAAAAAATGTAGCTTTATTAATATGTCTCATAATAAACTAGTAATGAACGCGTATGACTGAATTGCCTTTTCAATATTTAGTTGATTAAGCCTAGTAATTAATTATACTATATACGACAAAATCGATTTTAATCTTTACCGATCAATTATGATCATGGAGCCATAAAATAGATTATTTTCCATAATATTTTAAGAAAATTATTGGTTAAATATACATCGTCCAATGTAATTACACACTTTTAACACAAAAGATGTGATTATAAATTTTAATAATAACGTGATTAGACCATACAAAATTAATTTTTTTTAGTTCCCACCATAGTTGTTAGGCGAAAAACGAAATCAAAAATCAAAATTACCTGACGAAAAACGAAACCTAAAAATTGGAATGGCGGAAGGCGAAACCTGATGAAACCCTAATGAAGTCAAAAGTCCGGCGATAAAAAGACTGAAAGAAATAATTAATACGGTAGTAAGCTATTTTCATGATGACAAAAATGAGGACTTGAACTTGTAAACATTGGTATTATTAAATATATACAAGAATGTGGCTTATAAGAAAAGCGCTGGTTTTTGTATCTATGTATTATTGCATATTTATATGTAATATTTGAGGCCTATTGCAATAGCTATCGACCGTTATGCATTTTATAATCATATACTATATAATGAACCAGATTATGTTTAACGGTTAATTTTGAAGCAGAAATGTGCATCATGTTACACGTTATAGCGAATATCGAGATGAAATTTTCACGCTGATAATAAAAAAAGGTCGAAAAACTTAGTGTGTTTGGTATTATTCCTTAAATTGTCACGATAAGCGGACAAATTTGGCCGCGACGAAAATAGAATATAAAATTTTTGCTATAAAAATCTTGATCCTAATTGGCTGCAATGACTCCTAAAAACTCGAGCCACATATCACACTCAACAGCCGCAGTGTGACATATACGAAATGATCCAAACAAAGGGCATAATAAGTTCACACAATGTTGTAAAATATGTCATTTTAACCAAACTTTTGAGTCACCTTATTTTTCCAATATTATTCCAAAAAATCAATTCGGTGAAGTTGGTCGTGAAGAATTTTTGCCTTTAATGTTATATTATAAAAGTACCTCTGCCTTCATAATTGTCACGTGCAAATACCATTTTTACTATTAAATTTTGATCGTAAAGCTCATACGTAGGCGATTTTTGGAATGCCGATGAGGAAGTTTTGCAAGATAATAATTGTATGATAACTAGCATGTAGTGTTCTTTTATTCTAGTTAAGAGATTATGGGAGTGCGGCTTAATAAAATTTGGAGCAATTACACAAAAATAAGTCAAAAAATATTTATATCAGCGCAAGGTGGAAATTTATTCTTGACATTTATCTCATCTCCCTTATAGCTTTACTCATCATTCAAACTTCAATTACAGACTATTATGAAGAACAACTTAAACATCTTTGCAATAAAGGAAATGGCGCAAACCTTGATGAATTAGTGAAAGTTGGGCAAGTTAGCCGACAGTTG